TTTGTTTCAGTTGCTCAGTAGCCGCTACTGGCTTCCGAGTATCAGCTGCAGCTACCGCTGGTAAAGGCGTTGTCAACACAGGACAGGGGAAAGGCGCAGAGTCCTCAAACATTTGTACCTTATGGTGGTTTTTGGCCAGAATGTTTTATGCCCAAAACAGACGGCACTACCATGGCTGTAGCGCCGGGTGCTGAATCTAGTGTAGATGCTGAGCCCTGCTGTTGTGAAGGTGAGTCAGAGAGAGCTCAGCCTTAATTGCGGCTAGAGTCTCTTTCAGTAGTAGCCAGGGGGCAACAAGAGACTTTGCCTCCTTAAACCCACAAGTAACTTCATCCCACAGGTGTGCCCCAATTTTATTTATTTTTTTTTTCTCCAGGTCCCAAGATCAAAAGCTTCATTAACCCCCTTGATCAGCTCTTTTTCTTTACTCCAGAGCAATAGTCTTTCTAACAGATTATCGTCATATTCTATCCCTCTCAGTGAGAGGATATGCTGGAAGAGCTTAAGGATGACAATTTCTTCTTTACTTAATTGATTCCCCATCCTAACCCTCTTGCAGACCCTGTTGGCTGTTACCTTATTTGCACTGCGCAGTGTCTTCTGGGCTCACAAGGCTCCATTCTGAGGCATCTACCTCCCGATCCTGGTCCTGCCGGATCGAACGCAGCCGACATCCCTGCAGCTCTGCGTTTTCCACTTTCTTCAGTGCCAAACGCTTTAATTCCTTCAGTTTCAATATGAAAAATAGGGGTGGTCCCTGTTCGGGTGCCATTTGCCACAGAAAATATATGGACCCAGTCAGAGATCAATTTGATCAGACAAAAGCCATTTATTACAAAGCCTTAACCCCTTATATACTATTTCTTACATGCACTTACAATGATTTGGCATATTATGATTGGATACATGTCTTGAAGACCCCCAGTGACTAACATGTAATTGGTTAAGCACGGGTGTGAGAACTTGACCTCGAAAGCTTGCCAACATTCCACAGTTCTCGTTAACTCCGTTAATTCCAGCTTCTTCTTATCTTGCTTGTTTAGGCTTCCTCGGGCCTCTCATGGCCTTGCTGTATCTTTCAGGATTTATGTACCAATTATCCCTTCTCCTGTGAGAACACTGTCTCCACACCCCAAACTCAAAATGGGTGCCCAAACCAGCAGGCAGTTCACCACATCATAGATGAAAGGATGGTTCCCGAAAATCCCTGCCCACTCTCCAGCTCCATTCCAGGTTTCACTCCCACCCCCCCCCCCACCCCCCCCTACCTCCTGCAGCAATCTACCAGCCCTTAGCCTCATCCCTGGGTAGTTTGCCAGGGTGGATGTGTTGTCTTTATGCAGATGCCTGGTGTGACATTCTCTTGGCTCCAGTGGCCCTTGGAGAATTACCATGTCATGAATAACACAAGGAAGAGCTGCTCTGAATGAAGTTTTCATAAATCCATGCTTCTAGCCCAAGAGTTTGATAGGTGTTGGCTCTGACATTGTGCTGACAATTAGTGACTGCCTCATTTGGTGTTCTCATGAGTTGGTCAAGAAGCAAAGCTGAGAGGAAGTGACTAATAGAAGATGCAAAGCCCTGGGGGAAACCTGTACTTGCAGAGTGGTTGTCCATGTCTGAGCAGCTGTGGGCAAGGTGAGGCCTCCTGCTGCTGGACACCCATCTGTAGCAGCTGGGCTGATGAGGAGAGATGCATGCTTTTTAATTTGCTGGTGGCACCAAGCTGGGATGACCTTGAGAAACAGCCTAAAATAAGGGGATCATAGAATCATAGAATCACAGAATGGTTTGGGTTGGAAAGGACCTTAAGATCATCTAGTTCCAACCCCCCTGCCATGGGCAGGGACACCTCACACTAAATCATGTCACCCAAGACTCCGTCCAACCTGGCCTTGAATACTGCCAAGGATGGAGCATTCACAACTTCCTTGGGCAACCTGTTCCAGGGCCTCACCACCCTCACAGTAAAGAACTACTTTATATGTAACCTGAACTTCCCCTGTTTAAGTTTGAACCCATTCCCCCTTGTCCTATCACTACAGCCCGTAATGAAGAGGGGACAGGGACATGTGCAAAGTTTTACATATCAGACAGAGGCTAAGCCACCTCCCAGGGACAGTGTGAGGATGTATGGCCGTGTAATTATCTCCAGATAGAAAATGGGAGGGGTTATAAGGTTGAAAATGTACCAACTGATGACAATTGCATGCATCAGCAAGTATAAATTGATACAGTATGACTTCCTAAGCATTTTAAACAACCAAAGAACCCAGGAGCGTTAAAATAAAGCCAGCTATTTTTAAAGGCATGGAAGGAGCATGAAATAGCTCCTCCACCTGAACTGTGTTGGGAATGATGCAACAGACAGGATGGAAAACGAGCCCAATGGTGTCATGTTTGTGTCTTTCCCAGAGTATGAAGTGCCATCAACATTGCTGCAAGGAGGTGTCATCCCTCCCTTGTCCAACTGCTTTCAGGTCATCTTGGGCTGAAGTGTGGAGTGCCTAGTTTAAGGATGGGGAAAGGGTGTGAGGAAGAAAGTTGCCAAGCAAGCTCTGTGAGTTTTGTGGCACTTAGTAGCTGGGGAAAAGAAAGGGGAAATGAATGTGTCTGGTTATTCTCTTGTGCACAAGCGCTAACCCACAGAGACCGGGTTTTCCCTGCCAAGGAAAAGAGGTGATGCTTTCTAGTGATCTTCTTCCAAAGGGAGTGTTTTCCCAGAGCCCCATAGCCTGTCGGGAAGCCCTTGGTGGGAGCAGCGATCCCAGGCACTGCTGGTAATATGCTTGGGCTGGGTTTGGCTCCAAGAGTGAGGCAAGGAGTTGTCCTTCCTCGGGCAGCCCTTCAAAGGCAGGACTGTGGGGAACAGGAATGCCAGCCCTGTCGGGGGGATTCCTGCTCAGCCTGGGGGCCTGAGGGGGTCCTCAGGCCTGTGGAGTTGAGGGAGTCCTGGAGCACTGAGAGGGTCTGGATTCCAAGGGACTTGTGAATGTTCCATAGAATCACAACATCACAGACTGTTTTGGCTTGGAAGGGATCTTAAAGCTCATCATTCCTGCCAGATATGGGGCAGCCACAGCTTCTCTGGGCACTTTGTGCCAGTGTCTCACCACCCTCATAGGGAAGAACTTTCTAAAGTCTCATCTCAGTCTCCCCTCTGGACTTGCTCCAAGAGCTCCATGTCCTTCTTATGTCCAATCCCGGTAGTGTTCAAGGCCAGGTTGGATGGGGCTTGGAGCAACCTGCTCTAGTGGAAGGTGGCCCTGCCTGTGGCAGGGGGTTGGAACTGGATGAGCTTTAAGCTCTCTTCCAACCCAAACTGGCGGGTGAGTCAGGGAGGACCACGGGGCGGGTGTTTCCAGTGTGCCCGGCAGGGGGCGGTAGAGAGCCCCGCCTAGCCCTGGCACCGCTTCCGCCAATCCCCGCGCGCGATTGTCCCCGCCCGCTTTGCCCCTCCTCGGCGTTCGGTGATAACGTCAGGAGGCGGTGTCGAGCCGCGGGTTGGGGTAGGTTGATGTGAGTGTGGGACTGAGTGAGTGTCTGGTTGGGTGAGGTAGCTCTGGTTCTATGTTCTCCTCCCTCCCTCCCTCCCTCCCTCCCTCCCTCCCTCCCTCCCTCCCTGTCGGCGTGTTGGCGGCTCTGCCCCGCGGCGTGGCAGCGTTGTGGACTGGGAGGCGTGGGCACGGCGGGCCCCGGCGGCTCAGCCCGGGGAGGGGACCTTGACCGCTGGGTTGGGCCGGACCGGGCGCGGTGCTTCTAGGCCTGGAGCCGAGCCTGCCGCGGGATGAGCTGCTGGCTCGGCCTTGGGTCCCCTCCCTGGAAGGTGACTCGGTGTGGTTCGGGGTGAGTTATGATTCGGAGAAAGCTCCAGGAACAAACTTGCCAACAAAGTTTTCAAGCTGATAAGCTTTGTCTCAGTTATGAACAACCAGGAATCCCGGTCGGTCTGACCGATTCTGGCTTGCCACCGGCTCCGGCACAGCAGTCTGCAGTGCTGCAGCTCCGGGTTTCCGTGTCAGCCAGGTGACTGCTCATGCTAAGCTCATGTCAAGCAGTAAAAGGCACGTTTGAGATTTATTAGTAGCACTAAAGGTAAGGTGCTGTGTTGTGTGGGTGTAGTTCAGAGGTTGATGTGTGTTAGCATCTCGTAATGAAGTTAAGAGTTGGTGTCTTCAAATTTCCTTTCTGACACCTCAGAGGAAAGCCGAATTAAATCACTTCAAGTTGTGAGATATCTAATTGTTGGTGAAGGTCTGCTCAGCCTCAGGTGGGTTAATCAGTGCCTGACATCTCTCACCATGGGGCCACCCTTGGGTATTAAACCATTCAGGCCCTGATATTTTTCAGAGAGCTGAAGGAAGCTTCTGGATCAGCAAGCGCTGAGGTGCTGCCCTGCTGAGTCATGGGATGCGATGTGCTGGTGATGCTAAGGAGAGGAACAGGAGGATATTGAAACATAAACCCCATGTTCCTCACAGACACAGCTTGGGTGTGTTGTCCTCTCCCATGGTTTGGCACCTGCTGAGTGATGTCCTTCTCAGAGGGGGCTTGGGATGCCCCATTTCTCCAGTGCTTTTGTTCCTTCCTCCAAACTCCTGGTTATCATTAAACAGGAGCATTTCCACCACACTGACGTAGAGTTAAGCATTTTGTTGCTGTCTGTGGTGTGGTTCTATCAGCTTCACTGAAACCCTTACATATACAAGGAAGAAGCTACAGACATATACTGGTAGTTGATGCCTGATCTCAGCTAATGTTGTTAATGGATTTATATAAAATGTTTTCAAGTTTAGTGTTTGAGCCTTCTTGGTTTTATTTACAGGTGGGACATTTTACATAAGTGTTTCTCTATGTGTGGAATTACTCTAATAATTTGTTTCTGGATGCTCTCATTTGATTTTGCTTTTAACTTAATCCATTTTAAGGTACAGCAATACTGGGAAGAACTCTCAGTGGGAGGCATTATTCAGGGCTAGCTATAGTTCTTGATTTCTTTTTTGTCATGGTACTTGAATCTGAATGAGCACCCCGTTATAGGACAGCCCTTGGTGTAAGTCAGTTGAGCTTTCTGTGAAGTTGTTTACTGTTTGTGCATGCTCAATTTCCATGAGGAGTTACTTTGATGTCTGATTTTAAAACTGAATCTCAACTAAAGCCTTGTTTTCTTTCCAGGTTAGATGTAGAGACTAAACTTCTTCCAGCTGTCCCTCAAAAACATGTATTTCTCCATGTAATCCTCCTGATGGAAGACCAGACAGGGTTCCCTTCCTGCTGTTCATGCTGACTGGCTCCTTGGAGAGGTGGTGAATGAGCGAACATACGCTTGGTGGTGGTAAGTCCTCCAATTACATTTCAAGGCTAACAGCATCTCCATAGCCTTCTATGAAGGCTCAGCCACCATGTTGATGGGCTCTGAGCCAAAGAGTGGAAATTTAAATCTTCCTGGCTAACTGCCACGGCACAGACAGGCATTTTCTTCATCTCCTAAGCCAGACGTATTGTTTTAATTGGCACATCAAGACTTGCTGAAGTGCAGCAGATTTGGTTCTGTTGGAATACAGTGTGGTGAGCAAGACCTCCTCCTAGTCTGGAACAGCTGGTAGAAATTCCATTTGCGCTTCCTACATGCAGCTCCATATGGAAAACGAAGTAAAAACAAGTTATAGAATCCCAGACTGGTTTGTGTTGGAAGGGATCTTAAAGCTCATCCAGTTCCAACCCCCTGCCATGGGCAGCGACACCTTCCACTAGAGCAGGTTGCTCCAAGCCCCATCCAGCCTGGCCTTAAACACTTGCCAGGGATAGGGCAGCCACAGCTTCTCTGGGCAACCCCTGTGCCAGTGCTTCACCACCCTCACAGGGAAGAGCTTCTGCCTAAGATCTCATCTCAGTCTCCTATCTTTCAGTTTAAAACTATTTCCCCTTGTCTTGTTACATGCCCTTGTAAAAAGTTCCTCCCCAAAATTTGGTAATGTCCAGGCACAGCCGCTTAATTGGTTAAGAGAACTTGCAGAGGTCTCTTCCTACCTCAGCCATTCTGTAACTCTGTGCTTCAGTGCTCAGCTGGGAGCAGTAAACAAGCTGTGCTTTATAAAAAGAGATACTGTTTGATTTCCAGGGCCATCTGTTCTGACCATGACTCTGGGTTTACAGGCACTATTACCAGTAGCTTGTGATGAAAGCAGCAAAGCACTGTGCATGCTCTGCAGTGAAGTGCAGTGAACATCCCAAACTCCTTCTTTGTGGTACTTATTTGGTTTGTCTCATTCTTTTCTTAAAGTTCAAATGTGGAAATTGCCCTGGATGTGGTTGCTGCTGCTGCCCTGGGAAAATGTCTTGGTAGGGAATTAACACCATTCAGTGATGGGCTGTGGGGCAAGCAAAGTGCTTCCAGAGCTCCCCAGAGATGAGCATCTAGACCTGGTGAAAAAAGTTGAACCTTACACAAGCCACGATGACAGATATAAGCATTTCATCAAGGATCACTGCGAGATCAAAGCTCCTTCACCTCCACAGCATTCTAACCCATACCCTGGGAACCACCTGCCTGCTCTTTTGAACCAGCCTGAGCCCTGCAAGAACAAAGTGGCTAAATACTGTGCCAAGTTTGACACTAGAGTGACAGCCAAGTATGACATTAAAGCCTTGATTGGGAGAGGGAGTTTTAGCCATGTTGTACGGGTGGAACACAGGGCCACCAAGCAGCCCTATGCCATCAAGGTGATAGAGACCAAATACTGGGAGGGGAGGGAGGTGTGTGAATCGGAGCTTAGCGTGCTGCGTCGGGTTCGCCACACCAACGTCATCCAGCTGACTGAGGTGTTTGAGACCCAGGAATGTGTGTACATGGTGATGGAGTTGGGAACTGGAGGAGAACTGTTTGATCGAGTCATTGCTAAGGGCTCCTTCACAGAGAGAGATGCTACACGGGTGCTGCAGATGGTGTTGGATGGTGTGAAGTATCTGCATATGCTGGGTATCACACACCGGGACTTAAAGCCAGAGAATCTCCTGTACTACCATCCAGGAACAGATTCCAAAATCATGATTACAGACTTTGGACTGGCGAGTGCTCAGAAGAAGGGAGATGACTGCCTGATGAAAAATACATGTGGGACCCTGGAGTACATTGCTGCTGAAATCCTGGTCAGGAAGCCGTACACTAACTCTGTGGACATGTGGGCGCTCGGTGTCATCTCCTACATTCTTCTCAGTGGCACTATGCCCTTTGAAGATGACAACCGCACCCACTTGTATTGGCAGATCCTGAAAGGAAAATACAGTTACTCAGGCGAGGTGAGTGTGCCAGGGGTTATGGTGAGGGGAAGTGAAGCAAGAAGCTCTCTGTAGATGGGTCTTTGTAAGGAGCAGAAGCTGGCTGTTGTGTGCAGTGTGGTAACATCATCAGGGCTAAAAACCCCTGTGATTCTGGCTTTTAAAATACTTTCCTGTTTTCTCTCTGCTTTCCAAAACTGTTTTCAGAGCAGCATAGTGAGCTCCTTTTAAAAATGTGTGTGTAAAGAAAGGTCTCTTCTTGTAGAGCAGAACTGTGATGCTTGTGAGTTTCTAGCTGGGGAGACCTCAGCTGTGGTAAGCTGTTGCTTGATGCTTTCATGTGAAAACTCGTGCCAGGGTGAGTGTTTGCAGTGTGGTATGTACATACCTTGTCTGATTTCTGATACAAATCCAAGTGTAGTCTGAAAAACACCTTTGCTGAAATTATTGCAGACAAAGGGGCACTTGCTTCTGCATCTGAAGACGTGAGCATTTCTAAAATAGATCTGCATTATCTCCTAAGTTGAGTATGTGACGAACTGGAGGATTGAAGAGTAGTCTTAGATAACTATGGAAGGAGGAACCTTGGGAGATAGATATTTATTTATTCTGGTTTTTTTTTAGGCAGAAGATGGGTGCCCCTACCCTCCCAGAGTCCCATCACTCCACCGCTGCCACAGCTCCTGCAAACTTGCTTCTAATCATGGTGGGAGATCTCAGCTATCAGCCACTTTTTTTACCAGCGCAGTTGCCAAGCGCAGGCATAACCTCACTAAGAATCACACCTATAGAAAGTGGGGGCATCTAGATTTGTAAGTTATGTTTTTTGCCTATAACCCTCACTGGCAAAATTTAAAAATTAAGCTTTTATAAGTGTGGAGCAATGGTTATTCTCATGAGGGCCTGCACAACCCAGGATTAGAGCCGAGTGAGACAGCCTTGAACTCTCTCTGACTCAGCTGAGCCGAGGAGGCCTGGAGTCGAAGAAATGTAAGCAGAACATTGAAACAGGAGCTTGCTTGCCACAAGGAATGCACCGCTTATCACAAGGCATGCACCCTGCTGTTGCAGAGATACGTGTGTAAAACTTAGCTTAGCCAATAGCAGTATATAGACAGGCGCGTGAACAGTTGTTGGGGACCAATGATAGCTTTGCTTTAGGCATGTGGCTTATTTAGAATCCTATATAAACACTGTGTATGCAAACAATAAGGGAGAACGATCATACTCGTATTGAGGTTGCGTCGTTACTCCGGGCCCAACTCCCACTCCGACATATAAGCTCTAATAACAGAGGAAAACATTTAGATTCCTGAGCACCATGGCTTTGTGAGCGGAAACCCATTAGGAAAGTGTTACTGAGTGGCTAAGTTTGTTATTCTGAAGTGACACTAAGACAACCGTCAAAACCCCAGAATAAATTAATGATTGTTCTCATGTGTTTAGGTGTGACAGGTATATTGGCATTTTAATGATGGAAGGAAGGACTAACATGTTAAGTTTTGGAACATATTAAGCTGCTTTAGGGTTGTGTTTGTTTTGTTTTGTGTTTTTTTCCTATTTATTTGTTTATTTTGTGGTTTAAGCCCAGCTTGTAAATCAGAACCATGCAGCCACTCACTCACTCTCCCCAGTTCTTCCTCACCCCCTGCTCCCAGAGGGATGGGGAGGAGAATCAAAAGAATGTAACTCCCATGGGTTGAGGTAAGAACAGTCCAGTAACTAAGGTATAACAGGAAACTGCTACTGCTACCACCAATAACAATAACGATAAGGGAAATAGCAAGGGAAGAGAATACAACTGCTCACCACCTGCTGACCAATACCCAGCCTGACCCGAGCAGTGATCTAGCCCTTCCAGTTAATCGCCTCCAGTTCATATACTGGGCCTGGTATGCTGAGGTGTGGAATACCCCTTTGGGTATGTTGGGTCAGGTGTCCTGTCTCTGCTTTCTCCCAGCTTCCCCTCCTCCCTGGCAGAGAATGAGACCCAGAAAGTCCTTGGTCAGAGTACACATTACTGAGCAGCAACTAAAAAACGTCAGTATTATCAGCGTTGTTCACGGGCTGAAAGTCAAAAACACAGCACTGCACCAGCTACTAAAAAGGAGAAAAATGACTGCTACTGCTGAACCCAGGACATGTTTTTTTTTAAATAAATCTCACTCTGCAGGGTTTTCAGAAGTGTCAGTAAGCCTTTTCTGCTTTGAAGCTGTCAGGCCAGCTTGTGTTAATGGGTGAATCTCCAATTAAATCAAACTGATGAGTATTGGCACTAGCATAGGAGGTGTCCTGGATTTGGCTGTAATGGTTATATTTCTGTTTCCTAGTAGTTGGTGCAGTGCTGTGTTTTTTACTTCAGTCTAACAATGCTGATAACACACCAATGTTTTTAGTTGTTGCTAAGTCACCAATGTTTTTAGTTGTTGCTAAGTAATGCTTACTCTGTTCAAGGACTTTGCAGTCTCATGCTCTGCCACAGAGGAGGGGCACAAGAAGCTTGGGGGGAAGCAGAGACAGGACACCTGACCCAAATTAGCCAAAGGGGTATTCCATACCACAGCACATCATGCCTAGTATAGAAACTGGGGGGAGTTACATGGAATGCCCAGATGGCTGCTTGGCTCGGGCTGCATATTGGTTGGCAGGTGGTGAGTGTTTGTCTTGGGCATCACTTATGTTTATTGGTTGGGGTGTTTTGGTTTTGGGGTTTTTTTTTGGGTTTTTTTTGTTTTTTTTTTCCTCTTCTAGTTTTGTATTCTCTCCCCTTGTTATTTCCCTCATTATTATTATTATTGGTGGTAGTAGTAGTGGTTTTGTGTTATACCTTAGTATGTTATACCTTAGGACTGTTCTTATCTCATCCTGTAGGAGTTACGTTCTTTCGATTCTCCTCCCCATCACCCAGGAGTGGGGGGGAAGAAGGGGGAGGGATTGAGCGAGTGGCTGCATGGTTCTGGGCTTAAACCACGGCAGTTCTTTGTGGTGCCCAACATGGGGCATGAAGGGTTGAGATAATGACAGATCTGACCAGAGTATGTCTAATCGTGTTTGTGATAAGCATTCATTGTTTCGGACTAATAGTCACTCGTCACAATGCTGATTTATTGTCTCTCAAAGTTGTTGCTCTTGATCTCGGAGTTTCAGCATTTTACCCAGAAGGGCCAGATCGCCGCTCGGATCGGGCTGGGTATCGGTTGGCGGGTGGTGAGCAGTTGTATTCTCTTCCCTTTTTATTTCCCTTATCATTATTATTATTGGTGGTAGCAGTAGTGGTTTTGTGTTATACCTTAGCTACTGGACTGTTCCTGTCTCAACCCATGGGATTTACATTCTTTGGATTCTCCTTCCCATCCCACAGTAGGAGGGAAGAATGGGGGAGTGAGTGAGAGGCTGCGTGGTTATGAGTTGCCAGCAGGGCTTAAACGGCGACAGTTCTTTGAGGCACACAATGTGGGGCCCAAAGAGTTGAGATAACGACAGATCTGTCCAGCGTGTGCCTAATCGTATTTGTGGTAAGGATACATTGTTTTGGATTAATAGTCACTCGTCACAATGCTGATTTATTGGCTCTCAAAGTTGTTGCTCTTGATCTCAGAGTTTCAGCATGTCATACCTTACTTACAGCCAGTATTTACTGTTTTAGTGTTTTATCAGCTGGGGGGCCTGGGCTAAGGTTCTTCTTTTGCTGTACCTAATGGCAGTGACTTGTCATACAGTAAAATAATTGATCATGAAACTGGTCTAGCATGCATTCTCAGTGAGGTCATCACCTCTATACTATAGGAGACATGTAATGGGAATTTTAAGCAATTATCTTTTTATCCTCCCCAGGGGGGTCAGCCTATGAAAGAGACATTCCTTCACACCCTCTGCTCCCCCATCAGGCTATTTACAGCAGTATTTGAGAATTCTAAAGCCTTTGGATGTTCTTTGGATACCCTTGAAACCTGCCTGCTGCTTTTGCTGGGAATCAGCATATTGCATGTGTTTTAACCATTTACCACCTTGAGAATGCTCGATCTTATCTGATTTCATAAGTAGGGTCGAGCTTGGGTCTTGTCTAAAGTTAAGCAGTGATTTAAGAGGACCACCAAATGATTTTCCCTGAGGCTGGACAGTCATGAGTGGCAGGGTGTGTGGGATTCTATGGGCGAGCTCCTAGGCCAATGGGCCCTTCCAGTGCTTTGAAACTTCACTCCTGAACAAAAGTGGAATCTAGAAAAATTGTCACCAACGTTTGGGAGAACGAAACTCCTTAACACTAATGTAGCATTAAGCAGCAGGCACTTCTTTATTGCAGCGCTGGGTGCTAGGTGGAATTTCCACAAATTGGTCACACCCAATGGTGATTTCATCCTTGCATTTATACAGAAAAATTACAAGATATTACGCTCCCCGTTACAATGATTGGTTAGTGATGTATGTGCAATTATAATATCTGCAGTGTCATTCTCTTCTGCTACTATGCTTGCGTGGGGGAAGGGTCTTCGCTTGGGTGAGGCTCTTCTTGATCTGTGGGTGTGTTTTTTAGTATTATAATGAAGGCTGTTTACTTCAGGTCACCTTAAAAGTAAGTTTTGTTGCCAAGTTGGCCAGCTGGATTTCTACCTTGCCAGGTTGTGAAATAGCTCATCCTATGTACAATAGACCCTAGGTGCTTTGGTTATTGTCTAGAGAGTAAGGACTAAGCCTAGTAAGTCACAGAAAACAGGGACTTAAGCAACACAGCGTCAGATTTTGAGTAACAGAGTGTCCTGAGTTCAGTAGTAGCAGTCATTTTTTCAACTTCTTAGTAGCTGGTGCAGTGCTGTGGTTTTTATTTTCAGCCTGGGAACAGCTCTGATAACACCAATGTTTTGAGTTGCTGCTAAGTAATGTTTAGTCTGACCAATGACTTTGTGAATCTCATGCTGTGCCAGGGAGGAGGGGAAGCCAGGAGGAAGCAGAGACAGGACACCTGACCCAAACTAGCCAAAGAAGTATTCCATACCACAGCACGTCATGCCCAGGATGTAGGA